CCTTAGAACCTGTCAAGGTGTGTCTGACTCTGTGACGTGGGTAAGGAAGTGTCAAAAGAAGTCTCTGAAGATAAAGGACAGTAGTGATTGGATGGGAGCTTCATTTTGAGGTCAGCAGACATAAGGCGGAAGAATGATTTAATCAGAGTAAATTCCGACTAGTCTAGAACAGAACATAAATGTGTTCCTGATCATAAGGTGCCAGTATGAGATAGCAATAGAAGCTCAATAAATAAATACACACAAAAAAAATCTACTTATCTAAGAGAAATACACAAACACTGCATTTTAACTAAAAGGCTTTTTACAAGCCTCCTATTCCAAATGTATCCTCAAATAAAACAACAACTTAGAATGAGTTGTCAAGTTGATGACAGTAATTCCAAACTACTTTTTTTTATAGTCAGTGAATGAGAGATAGTTTTGCCACTGCAAATGGTCACAGCTACTGCACTGGTGTATTTGATTAAGGAGCGTATGGTGTGGTGTCCTGTCCAGAATAACAACCGTTCGGCCTTACTGACAAATGCTAACAAAGCTGTGTTTACATTACGCAGTGTCAACAGAACAAAAAGGTGTGTGTGTGTTTTATAAAAACTGGAAATAGGAGACTTAACATGCAGACATTTACACTTAAATAAAATCTCATTAGCAATTTAAATGTAAAAACTCATAGTGCGAGCAAACTCTTTATCCTTTCACAAAGCCTTACTTTTGCTAAGGTCTGTATGGTAGGTACAAGTCAGTGTAGGACTGAAATGTAGTACATTTGTATCCTACCCACTTCCTGCTCCAATGTCAATAAAAAAAACCCAACAGTTTTACATAAACGTTGACTGCATGTTTATATTCAGTGTTGCAGTGCCTGTGGTTAAGGGTGGTTTATTTAGGAGTTTGAATGGCTACAGTGTTTATATAGGGTTTGCCCAAGTGCAGGACACGGCTTTACGGAGTGGGAGTCGACCAACAGCTGCCATGTCCATAGGAGCAAGAAATGCTGATTTTGCCCAAGGGAGATTAGCCCAGAGACTCCGAAAAATGCGAAACATCTGTTTCAAATAATGCAGAAGTAGACTGGCAACTTCTGTGGAAAATTTTGTGTATAAAAAAAAAAATCATACTTAACTTTTGTCTGTAAATTACAGAGCCTAAAACAAACTTTAGATGTGTCTGTAAAGAGAGTAAAGACACCTTTGTGCATTCATGGTGGAGAGGCCATAAATCAAGCAACAGGAAAACTAACTGGAGACATCTGGATCTCTGAAAGTGTGCCAAACATGTACCATTCTTTGATTGCAGTGGAAACACAGACAGACATTATAAGTGTGGGTTTTGTTTTTTTAATTTATGACTATGATTATTCAGTCGCACATAGTAATTTATCCGTATCCACCGTGACATGTGGTGTCACTGTTTTAGTCAAATCTTGTGAGCCACATGTCAAGCTAGTATTTGGTAACGACATTAAAAATGCCAGTTTAATTTTGGAGGGAAAATAATTTCCTGCTCTCGACAAACACGCCTCTCAATCTGATCTGACTTGTTGATGGATTTTCTTCAGAGACACACCCAACATTCCTGACAAACGCCAACATCGATTAAGTCTGAAGGATGACACGCTGAATGCAGCAGGGAAAATCTAGCATTGCCAGCACTACTCGGTAAGAGCTTTAAAAAAGTGATACTTCTGTCCCTTTAAAAGTGAGCGTTTCTTGCCTTTTTTTCTGCTGATTTGCCTAAAGTGCAATCCTAATCATCAGCACCTGCTCGGCTAGGTCAGCAGCCAGCTCAGCTATCCTGTCACTCACTGATTCAACGATCTATTTCTGACACTGGGGGCGGTAGCGGCCATATTCAGGTCACAATTACTGTGTCACTCCGCATTCTGACGCACTTTTAGTCCTCTGGCCATAAAAGATTCCTTCAAACGGTAACACTGACAGAAGTATATCCGGAAAATAAAGGTAATCTTACCATTTTTTTCTCGTTGGTTGAAGCGCCTTTAAACAGTAAAACGACTGGTTCTGAGAAGACTGTTCTCTCACAGCAGACGACAATGTGGTCCGAGTGAGTGGGTAATGACTGGCGGGAGAGGGCTTGTCAGACTATATCTATCTACAGGCCACGCCCATACTGCTGCGCTATAGCACACAAACTGTTCAGTGTGTGCCCTCTGGTGGTTCCTATAAAAAGTGTTACCACTTTCAGCAAGTCACTGGCGCCGCCATATTCATACTGCAGGATACAAGCTAACAAAGCTAGGTAAATGGAGAGAGTTCAACCTTAAACTCTCCCCAGTAAATGGGAGAGTTAAAGGTTGAGCTCTTAAAAAACGAATTAAGGTATTATATAGAATCTGAAAAAAATCTAAAAAATGAATTAAGGTATTATATAGAATCTGAGTTGTCTAAATGGATACACATCTAATATTGCTAGTTACAATATTTTACAGTAACTTGTGAAATTGCAATATTCTCACAGAATATTAGATACATTGTTAAAATAATTAAAACACACTTTATATCAAAACGCTTTATTTCAGCACTGAACACAGCAAAATGGGAATCTTAAATATGTATAATATAACTGTTAGCATTAAGAGTTTTTTTCTGTAGCTGGAATTATTTCAAAATAGCACACATACATAAAAAAGCCATTAGACAATAAGTTAATACATCTTATATACACACAAGGAATGAAGAATTGTTTTATCAGACAGATTAGGTCAACAAATAATACATTCATAGTTAACATATGTGATCAGCTGTTTGCCATGTGAAATTCTTGTTATTTATTGCTTTATACTCTTATAGTTTAATATTAATGTAGTAGATATCCAAAAGGTAAGTTTAAAGAAGTTTCAAACTGTGTGTGATCATCAAAAATGTTATAATTCTATATTGTTTGTTTTATATACTTGGGTTCAAACTGAAGTGCAATAACTTGAGTTGCAGCATTAAACACCCTGGCATCCTTACTGTTACACTTTCAGATGAAAACAGATGAAAACTCTTACGCTGCTATGAATAGAAACATCTTACATACAATCACCGGGACTGTGTCTTTGAATGCATATGAAAACTAGAGTCTTCCAAATATCAATACTTCACCAACAGCCTTTTACACTTAGAGCCTATCACAGGCCGGCTATATGGGTGTGTCAGAGTAAGTGCAGGCACAGAGGCATTATCATCACATAGCAACAATATAGTAGAAAGGCTTCACATTTTGGAGTCTGTAGAAGTTGAATTCTTGAAATAACTGTGCTTTATTTTAAAAGATGTATCAGTAGCCAATTATATCACTAAGCTTGGATGGAAGCAGCAATGCGGCATTGCATTGTTGTTTTCTTTTACTGATGGGCAAGAAGAGATGTGATCTCATGAATGTCAGTAACTGTTTTTGTATGTTTCTAGATTTTTAGTAAACAGTGAAAATAGTGTTTTCAAACGTGGTCTTAAACTGTAACAATGTTGTGGACAGTGAGTTTTTACCGTAACACATTCACGCATTAAACAAAGGACTCAATCTTGTAACATGGCCAACACTGTCTTCCTCTGTTTCTTGTGCTTTGTTTTCTTTCTGTTGTGGCTCTATTTTACCAGGTGACACTGGAGCAGACACCTGTGGTGTTTCTGTTCTGTCACTGCACGACTCCTCGGCCTCCTCATCCCTCTGCTGTACAGAGGAGAGGTACTGCTCCAGCAGACTGCAGTCTGAACTCTCTACACCATCACCACTGTCTACAATACAGCTACGAACAGGGCTCATTGTTCGCACCGTCTTCAGGGAGTCTTCTGTCCCGCTGCTCCGGAAGCTGTCCTCCAACACCACCTGTTGACCGCTTGTCGACTGGAAGCCCGAGTCTGGGAAGGAGACTTCTGAACTGTGTGGGTTTGTTGTACTTGAGGTGACAGGGTAGGAAGCGTTACATTGTTGTGGAGGTGAAACTTGGACCAGAGCAGCAGACTGAGTAACATGAGCCAGCTGCTGCTCCACAGACTTCTTCCACTGCTGCATGGACTGGAGCTGTACACCGAGGACACAAAAGGGTTTGTAAAATAAACAGCTCACATACGTGTTTTGTAAAGAAAAACATAAAGTCTGTTTGGACCCAGTAATGCAGTAGCTTAAATGAACTTACATTCATGGAGACAGTGAAACAAATTACCTATATTTACCAAGATAAGTACTGTTGCATGTTAAAAAAATACTGACCTCTTTCCACAGAAACTT